GAATGCTTTAAAACGTGAGAAAAAACCTTTTCAAGTGCTGACACAAGTCGCCAAAAATGATGCCAACGTTATAACTCTTTAAATAATTAGTTTTAATCAATTAATTTTTATTAATTATAATTAAATTATTGTATTGTCATCTAAAATAAAATCATGTATATAAAATTTCAGCTCAATTGAGCACTTTAAAATGTATTTTATTAACGATTCGATGAAGGTAAATAAATAAATAAATATATAGAGAGTGTGAGCTTATAGTAGGAATTGAATAAGTGAAAGAGCTAAATGCACAGATCTTACGTGCTCTAGTTTTGGTTTTCGCTTCGACATACTGATAAAAATAATTAAATAATTAGCTAAATAATGTAGCTAGAGTTACGAACTTTCTTACACATATTTAGAAAAGTCGTAAAATTAAAATGAGATAATAATAAAATTCGATGTTTCGATATTTTTTAATGTAATGTGTCCCCTTAAAATAACAGTTGTGGCTCTTGTTTTTTTAATAAGTCAATTACTACCATTCATATAAACCAGTGTTTCTCAAACTGTGGGGCGCGCCCCCGGGGGGCGCGATAAACGTACAAGGGGGCGCGAGCATATCGAAAATAAAAGATTAAAAAAAATTTATTTACTGGAATGAAGTAAAACAAAATACTTTCTGACATAATAAAAAAATACACATTTACACTGATATAATTTATATATCTGCGATATTACGTCATAAAAAATTAAAGCTACTTCTTTTCAAACCAAAATGAGAAAAAACAAAACCCAGATCCATAATCGAAAAAAAAAAATTTAGGAAGGTAAAAAATTCATCACTGTTATATATTTGTCATCAGATGTAGGCAGCAGAATGTAGCTGCTGCGTTTTGACCTTCGAACTTACTTGTACGGTTAGTTACGTCCCTGCTCTTATGTATTTGTTTTTTCATTTAGGGAAGTTGCAAATAAACTATTTCTGCAGCGATTTTTTTCCTTGTAAAATATTTTTATGATTTTTGGAAAAGCACAGAGAGCTCTTTGAAGAATTACTTGGCCAAGATTTATTTCTATGAGTTATTCCCAAACATATAAAAAAGCATAATGAAAAACGTTTTATATAATTTTTTGAACATCCATATTGCAATAAATACACTTTTATTCCGGAGCTGTCACGCTGAGCACAGAGTGCACGAAATTGGTAATTCTGGCAGAACTGTTTAATTGTTACCAATGGCTCTGACACTATCCTCCTGTTTGACAGTCTTAACGTGTGAACTAAAATATATTTGTCACATATCTCCCTCTTTTTTTTGGGAGTGACAAACGTTTTTTACAATCTTAAGGTACTTGTTTTGACTGAGTTCCCGGTGTGATAACTTTTTTCCGAAATATTTTCTGTGTTCTTGAAAGTAGGGGTGAGTATATTTTCTCTTAATTAAATTATTCACTGGAATTACGATTTTTATTGTGTACTATAAAAATAATTATAAAAAAAGAGATTGGGGTGGCTCAATAACCCCACTCGACCATTAGTATCGAGTGCGTGCCTGCTCCATGTTTAAAACATCTTGAAGTCTTTTCACTTTAAATATTAAAAATAATACAATTATTTCTCATCGGAATTTTATATTATTGTTCATTATTCAACATCAATTCTAAATGCTAATTCTGTGAGGCTTAAAATTATAGTTCGCTTAAAACTAATTATAATTTGAGCAATGATTTAAAAAAATCATTTTACATTTTTTTCAACATTGTTGCGCACTTGGCTTTACTCTCCTTACAATTCAGCGATTATATCAATAATGTTTTATTTTCTTATAAATGAAATCGTGCAAATAGCGGGTATTTCAGCGCCGGTATACTTTTAATGTATCAGTGCTGCACAGAGTATTTTATAACTAATTAATTAATGCTTAATTGAGAACAAGTTTAATAAGTATTAGCGACTTCCTTGGGCTTGTCTTACAGAGCAAATTTTTCAAAGGAATGCTTATGATTAGAAATTGATCCACTGAGTTCTTTCTAAAAAAAAGCTGATATCTATATTTTGCCTTCTAAGCAGCCGCCGCATTTTGCAATATGCTCCAATTTAAAAATTAGAGAAAGGAAAAATAACATAATAATTATCCTATTACTTAATATTTTTTTGCTTAAAAGCAACGTATACAAAATTTAATACTTATGTCATGAATTTGTACGGTATATAATTAATATTATTGCTTTAGCGTAAAAAAAAAGTGCATTATTATTGCATTCAGTACATTATTAATGTATAAGGGAGGCGCGATAAAAATTGTGATTGATAAGGGGGGGCGCCAGTTTTGAAAGTTTGAGAAGCACTGCCCTAAGCGGAGTGTTTGTAGCTCAACAAATGTTTCTCTCGGGATTATACTCTACACGACATTGTTAAAACTTTTATTGCAGTTCTGAGTTTTCCCGTGAAGACATTTTCTGAGGAGATTTTGATCGAAAAGATCCATTTAAGATTTTTTAATAGAATTAATAGCTGAATTTAGATGATCCGTTGATTTTTCTTTCAACGTATCTCTAACAAATGCTGCACTCTGGAAATATCTTCTTTTTGGCCCCACTTACCTTGTTTTTGGCATGATAGCTTTAATTTAATAAAAAATAATTATAACTCTGTACAAAAGTACTAATAAAAAAGATCTAAAGAGCTCAAATTTTGAACGCAACTGATTAAAAGATAGCAACTCGTTTGAACCGAAACAAACATTGCAATCAGTTAACTGTTGCCTGTTTGAAAGCGAAATATATCTATTAAAACGTTTATAAAGTGAAATAAAGCTTACTAAACATTAAAATAATACGTTAAAACAGTGTTTCTTAAACTGTGGGGCGCGATAACCCTACGAGGGGGGCGTGAGTCTATCGAAAATAAAAGATTTAAAAATAATTAATTTACTGGGATAAGTTAAAACAAAATACTTTCAGACATAATAAAAAATGCGCTCTTACTCTGATATAATTTATAGGCGCGCGCGCGATATTAAATCAACAAAAATAAAAACTTCTTCAATACCTAATTAGCTATCTTTGATCCTATAACCAAATAAAAAAACTTTTATTTGATTTGCTGTAATACTCATGAGAGATTTTTTATTATGCTTTCTGTTTAAACGTAACATGCAACCCTTTCAGAGAAAAAACAGATCCCAGACGCAGAATCGAAAAAGTTTAGGAACATAAAAAATTCATCACTGTCATTATTTTTGAAATACTACACATTATAGCTGTAATCTGTTTAACCTTCTAAGTTATTGATACAGTTAGTTATGACCCCTCTCTTATGTGTTTGTTTCTCATTTAGGGAAGTTGTAAGTAATTTATTTCTCTGTTACGCTTTTTTCCATACAAAAGAGTTTTATGATATTTGGAAAACCACGGAGAGCATACACACACACTTTGAAGGATTACTTGGCCAAGACTTATTTTTACGAGTATTCTATACATATAAAGCATAACGCGAAAAACGTTTTACACAATTTCATGTAATCATAATGAAAACACTTTTTACCCGGAAGTGGTAGCGCGGGACGCACAAATTACGAAATCGTTAATTCTGGCAAAACTGTTTATTTGTTACCAAAGAAAAATTGAAAAGTCCTTGAAAGTAGGTAAGTAAACTTCCTCTTAATTAAATTATTCACTGGAATCACGATTTGTATCGTGTACAATAAAATAATTATAAAAAAAGGATTAGGTTGACTCAATAACCCCGCTCGACCGTATCGAGTGCGCGCCTGCTCCCGGGTTAAAACATGTTGAAATCTTTTCGCTTTAAATATTAAAAGTAATACAGTTATCCTTCATCGGAATTTTATATTATTGTTCATTATTTAACATCAAATATAAATGATAATTCTGTGAGGCTTAAAATTACCATTCGCTTAAAACTAATTATAATTTGAGCAACCATTTTAAAAAAATCATTTTACATTTTTGTAAACATTGTCGAGCACTTGGCTTTGCTCTCCTTACAATTCCGCGATTATATCAATAATGTTTTATTTTCTTATAAATGAACTCGTGCAAAGAGCGGGTACTTCAGCCGGTATACTTTTAATGTATCAGTGCTGCACAGAGTATTTTATAACTAATTAATTAATACTAAATTAAGAACAAGTTTAATAAGTATTAACGACTTCCATGGGCTTGTCTTGCAAAGCAAAGTTTTTCAAAGGAATGCTTATGATTAGAAATTGACCCTCTGAGTTCTTTTTCTATATTTAGCAGATATCTATATTTTGTCTTCTAAGCAGCCACCGCATTTTGCAATATGTTCAATTTAAAAATTAGAGAAAGGAAAAATAACATAATAATTATCCTATTATTTTATTTATTTATTTATTTTTTCCTTAAAAGTAGTACACAAAATCTAATACTTATATTACTAATTTGCATGGTTTATAATTAAGATCGCCTATTGTAACTTTAGCGTCAATGTGCATTATTATTGCATTCAGTACATTATTAATGTATAAGGGGGGCGCGATAAAAATTGCGATCAAAAAGGGGGGGCGCCAGTATTGAAAGTTTGAGAAGCACTGATATAAACTATTAACTTTACTATTACTGCCATTTCTTTAAGGTGAGCTTTAAAGAACATGGGACTTATATATATATAACATTTGGAAGCCCAGACTTTTTTCATTTAATTATATAGGTTTGAATTGTGAATGGTAAAAAGCAATATAAAAAATATTAAAGTTAATTCCCTACTTAAGTCAAGAAAGAAATTTTTTTTTATTTTAGTTACTTTTTATTAAATTGTTACAATTAATATAAATATGTAGATACATATGACAGAATCACAGTATGAAGTGACACAATAGAAAGTGATCTTCCTTGCAAATTTCCATTTTCCTTTCTATATAGGGCGTTGGACTATTATTTCGTGGTTTGCCACTATTTATTCATTCATGAATTTAATTATTCTAATAAAATTGTTTAGTTAAAAAGAAAGAGCACGTTCTCAGAAATTATGCCATCCCTCGTGAGATTCAAACCCACGTCCTTTGGATTAAAAGTCCAACGCGCTATCCATTGCGCTATTGGGACACATCGAAACGTTTTACTTTCTATATCGGTTGTTGGACAGTTCTTTTTGTTTTTTACTATTTATTCATTTTTTAATTTAATTAATGAATTTATATTTGAAAAAACTGTATTAACATCAAGTGTCGTTCACTACAAGTTAAAAAAATATACTTGGATTTGAACAAAAGAATGGGAAATATTTTATTAATGATTGAAAATTTGAACAAGATAAACAACTTTACATAGGGTGAGAGTGATTTATTAGTAGGAATTGAAAAACACAGAGGAATTCCGCGTTATCCCAAAACGGCTTAGAAGGAAATACATAACTATTTATTTCAAAAAGCATAAAAAAAAGCAATGAAAAAACTGTTCAATGTAGAGTCAAAAAGAGTTCCCAGGCTTGCTGTACTTGCAACAATTTAAGAGCTACACGCTCTTTAAAATAGTCTATTTTTTTAAAAAAAATCTTCACATTTTTTTGTTTTGTTTAACACTACTTTCAAACAGTTGTTCAAAACACTCCTTTAATCCGTCTTTAGAACGCTCCTTCAGCTGTCTCGTCGCGTTCTTTACAGCTCCCTTTGAATTTCCGAATATATATATATATATATATATATATATATATATATATATATATATATATATATATATATATATATATAATTGCCTTTTTTACTTTCATTTTAAGTCGTGCAAAGAGGTAAAAAAAGTAGGAACTAGATCAGATCAGAAGGGTGATTTTCAAGTGCAGTAACATTATATTTTACAAGGTAATTTTTCTCCAGTAATGACCTTTGTATAGGAGCGTTATCGTGAAGTAAAATTTAACCCTTTTCAGTCAATTTCTCAAGACGTTTCCTTCTGTTTCAACACCTCGTAACTTAAAATTTCGCTCTCCAAGCCTTTTTGTCGCAGTTTCTATTTGATAGATGCATTATGTTTTCATCAGGGTTGGATGTGGACGGCCGATAGCTACAACATCAACATCTTGTGTGCGGCGAAAACGCTTGCGATATCCAAACACTTGTGATCCGCTTTTGTTGTCTCTTACTTGATTTAACAACTGAAGTTACAGTTATTAAAACACATTTAATGCTAGCACGCTGTTTATAATATGGCATTTCAAACTCCGATTATGTACTCCTGCTGTATTCAGTAACAAGGGCTGAATAAATAAACGATTGCTTTCCCACCTTCTCTACTAATGAGACCAAAGTCACAAAAAATAAATTTTCTTCTACGATCATTGCTGCCCCATCTCGTGGCCGCGCACTGACTTAATATATATTTCAGTGCATATGAATTGCATTTTACAGGTATTTTAAAGTACTTTACAAAGTCTTTAAATAACTCTGCGGGTGATATCGAGCTCCTTAACGAGTGATATCGAGCTCCTCTGTTATTTTCGCCTTTCTTCAATGTTTCCTATAATGAGTGGACGCGTAAAATTATCTAATTGATAAAATAAGTAAAACTAAAATTTTTCATGTTTATCGATCAACGCTTTTCTGTTAAATTTTCACTTTGAGCAACACCTGTTTGTGTCAAATACTTTACATTTTTGTCAGCGCTATCATTTGACGAACACGCGTTACAATGAAAAAAAAGTACATACACACAAATCTTTAGACTGCGTCTCGCAAATATTCCGATTTCCACATTTTGGTGGCCTTTATTTTGTGTTTGCTATTTGGTATAATATCATCCATCCTTAGCATTTGTGAACTAGTGTGCACTGCCGTGTGTGTGTGTGACGATACGAAGGAAGCATGGTGGATTTTAGGATATTTTTTATTTGTTTATTGAGAGAACTTTCAGCATCGTTACTGTGAGGAAAATAACGCCATTTGTTCTGATTTTGAATTGAATCGTTTATTCTTTTCAATAATTGCTAAATCGTCATTTTTTAATTTAGGTCTCTAATGGAGAGTAAAGCCTGGGAAAATATGGTCTATGAACATAAAAGGAAATACGACAAGATTTTGTAAAACTGGCTTGAAGAGGAAGTTTCATGAGAGGGGCTAGATATTTAAAATATACTTGTATATAAAAAATACTTAATTGATTGCATCATGTGAATTCTTTACAAATTGGTTTAGATTTAAGGTATCCGACTACGTTCGGAACCGTGATTGTGCAAAAGCGTATAAATGGATAATATTTATGATATTTAGTGTCACTTAGATTAGAAAAAGTATATAAAACTGTTTTAAGAATATTATCGCAATAAAAAATTATTTAAATACAATATTTCGGCAAAAAATTAACATATAATGACCAATTTTCAAAACCTTCTCCTTTTATGAAAAATGCTTCTGTTATAATAATATTTTGTATGTATATAGCGCAGATCTCTGTACAGAGGCTCAACTAGAGTTTTTGAAACATATAACTTAGAAGTGGATTTATCCATATTTTACTACAACACAGGGGAGAAATTTTAAGAAAAAAACGCCGATAATTATTTCAATTGGTGATAACTCTGAAAGTAATGTGAATTTTTCAAAAATCGTAGTTGAGACTCTCTGGAGAAGTCTTTACTTTATCTACGCAAAATATTATTATTATAGAAGCCTTTTTTATAAATAGAGAACGTTTTGAAAGAATGCTATTCTAAGTTAATTTTTGGCCAAAATATTGTATTTAAATAAAATTTTTTTGTCATAATGTCCTTTAAAAAATTTTATACATGTATCCTAATCTAAAGTGACACTAAATACCGTGAAAAGTATCCATTTATCCGCTTTTTTAAAATCACGGTTCCAAACGTAGTCGGATACCTTAACAACGGAATTTTTTCCCTTTTTTTGCTTCGTAAACGCATTTTAAAATTTCTAAAATATTCGGAGCTATAAATTAAATTATTGTATAACATATATGATAAAAATAATACGAAAGAACGATATTTATCCGATTAAACTTTACATACTATAATAGTAATTTCATTCGTCAGATTATGCAGAATTATACACACATACAACAAACGTTTTAATTTTAAAGTTGCATTACCCCTTTCCCACGATTAAAAAATGTTGTAATCCTTGATCGAAAATAACGAGAGAAAAAAAAGATAAAAAAACCCATCATCGTGTATCTCTCTGGTTTACGCAACAAACCCTACCCAGACTGTCCCTCGTGACATTTCATTACGTTGCATCAACATAGATAAAGTTTTCAAAGCCGGGAATTTTCCATTTCTAATTTTTCTTCGACAGGTTGTTGAATTGAGTTATTGGTAAAATTATGGCGTGAAAACTCTCTGAAAAATCTTCTGGCATTGCGTTTTGCAATTAGACATAGTTCAAATACTAAAAGGTTAGTAAATACGATAGTTTTCTTTCAACATTATTAAATAACTAATATTCGTTAACATCGCTATTAAACAGCAAAATTTTATCACAATTATTATTTTGAATAGGAAAACAAAAAATTAACACATACAAGTAAAACTCTTCGGAGAGCGGTAAAAACGTATGGGTCCCCGCCGGACTAACCGTTCTAGAATTTCTGTTCTGGAACATTTGTGTGTATTCTCTTACATATGGCAACAGAAAAAAATGCTTATTAATTAGGAATAATTCTCGTTGATAAACCTTAGAATACATAATTTATTTTTAATCTGATCATCTGTAATATTATTTTTAGTTAATTTTTTCAGCATTTTAAGGTATTTTATTTACAAATATGATGTTATTTTTAGCAGTTTTGTTGCGTTGGAAATTTTTTTTTAATTGCTACTAATAATTGTTTTATTTTTAAAAATAATAATACTAATTTTGATAAGTATTTACATTCATGTAGTGAAATGATTTCATTTACTTGTATATGATTTTGTTTACATCAATATTACAATTTTTTTTGTAAGAGGAATGAAAATTCTTTTGTGAAGCTTAACTTTTTTTAATTCATATATATTGTTATTTATTTCTGTTAAGAAATTGTCCAGCCTATTTCAGTTTTATTTGGAGTATAAAATTACGTTATTTTGTGTAAATATTATATATATATATATATATATATATATGCTATTTCTTTTTTTGTTATGCTATTTCTTGTTATGTTCTTTATCTATTATTTCTTGTTTTTGATAAATAATACATATTTCGTTTATATATATTTTATGCATTCATTTGGCTGCTTTGCGCCTATCTATGTAGGAATCTATTTACTAATGAGATTGTTCAGTTATGGATGTAGTCAATATAGAGTATGTTTGCTTATAGCGAATTTTGAAATCGCCATTAGATTCAAAATCTTGTCTATGAATGTTTTTTTTTTTTTTATTAAGTTTTATTTGGCTTTGTTCTTTTTCCTTGTGTGTTTTTCTTGTTTATATAAAAATATTATGCCAACTTCTGATTTTGTGCCTATAAAGTAATTGTGGATATATTATCTATGAGTGGATTAGATTTTTGGAATTATTTTGCTCATTATTTCTCTTTTTATTAATGTGATTGAAAAAACTTTTGCTAATGATATTTTATTTGGGTCCTTTCAACGTACCTTTAACTTTTAAAATAACTATGAATTTAAAAAATAACAAGTTTTATGCGACTGGCAATTTGTTATACCAGGGTATGACATTGCTCGGTGGTACAGTATAATGGTATCTGTACCATCGTCATCCATTTACCATTTTATGAGATCTTATATAGAGATTTTGTATATATTTGGGTATGGCTTTAGTTAGTTATGGAGATGGGCACAAGGGTTCTGAGTTGGCATATAAAGAAACTATAAATTTTTTAAAAAATACAAAAAAATGTGTGAATTGTTTTGATAATCAGAATTTTTTTGCTTTCCCTTCTGTATCTAAACATTGTCGTGTTAGAATTTTTAAAACTCGAATTTTTTGGAACTCTAAATATAAGAATTTATCTCGTACAGCAAAACGAAATATTCATGTTTCCGATAGTATAGATGAAAATCAAAGAGATAAGGATTTTGGTAACATATTAGAAAATAGGTTTTTCAGAGATATTCATGTTTTAAAACTAAAATTTAGATCTTTCACTGAT